TATATATATATATATATAAAGTTCTTCCTTCAAATGATTAAGATATATCTGTTGGATCGATGATGTGCCTCCAAATATTCCATTCTTCAAAGCTCGACTGATGAATTTTCTTCTTCATATCGTTTCTTCATTTTATCTTTCTTTTTATAACGCATACGTATCAAACATCAAGGCTTTACATAGCAATATTAATGTTTTAGTACATTAATGATAATAAATGATACGAGTCGTTAAACAGTGTATCGTATTCAGAATTGCCATAGAAAATGAACTTTAAAATTCCCTGATTTTTCCAGATTTTTCAAATAAAAATGAGAAATTTCCATAACCAATACAAAATATTAAAAATTTTAACATTTAGAATCAAGAATTGTAAGAAAACTACTAGCTTAGATTATTAAAAATACAAAAGATGCTTAACACAGCATAATAAAATTTTGGAGGTAAATTCAGCCAACAAAAAATAAATTAGTATTAAAAAAAAGAATGCAATTATATGACAAAAAAGGGCGATCAAATAAAATTACTGAATAAAATATAAATTTTAATTATTTTTTTTTTAATTGTCTAAAGTGTTTTAAAAGTATTTGATTATAAATTATAAACGTTAGATATAATATTTAAAAAATTATAAAATTATTTGGAATAGAAGCAGTTTAAGGGAATTGTGAGCAAAGTTCAAAATTCCAGTCTTTTTTTACATTTTCCCCTGACTTTTCCTGATTTTCCAGGTCTGTGGCAACCCTGATATTAAAATCAAATAAAATGCGGACAATAATTTACATAAACTTGAGATTAAAAATTGACGTAATGAAAACAATGCATAAATTTATATAAAGCAAAGCTTCAAAAATGCATAAATTTAGGGCCCTAAATGCCAAAATTATCGACTGCGCAGATTTTCGCAGTAAGATATCACTAAATCTTTTTACTTGACAATCAATTAACTACTTACATAAATATTATAACATCTTAAAATTAAACATTTTATTCCTTAAAAGCATACATTTTCAAAAAATAACACGTTAACTTCAACATTATTAAAGTAATAGAATTCTTAAGTTATCAATATTAAGAATGTTTTATACATATTTTCAAAATGATAACAAAATTATTAAAATATTACTATTCTAAATCTAATGTTTTAAAAATAATACAATAAAATTTGATGAAGGTTTATCTGGATCATAAAGTATTTTAATAAATAGTAATATTTTTGGTGTTCTAATAAAAATATATCGAAATGTATTATAAAATAAATCATAAAAATCTCAATTTGTTAATATAAATACATTATGTATTCAAGATTATTTACGTAAAGTTACATTATGATGCATGAACTAATTATCCAGTAAATAAACAAAATATTGATTTTTTTCTATATCTTTGTAACTATAATCAGTGAATCGCAATAAAACTTTGCATAAATTATTTTGATTATTTACAATACTTATAAAAAAAATATATAAATTTTTAATCATTTTTTTAAATTTTCATTTTTAACAATAAAAACAATAATAAATAAAATAAATAAACTACAAAAATGTTATTAAACAAAAATATAATCTTATTCACACAACTTTCATATGTGTATAGTTTATTTGAAGTGTAAATATTAAACA